CGGGGCCAAGCCAGTGGTGGGACATCTCCACAGCTGCTGGGAGAACAGAGCCCACGTGTGCATGATTTGGAGGTCTCTGTCTGGACGGAGAGCTAGCCGGAGATCGCAGAGACTGGGCCAACCCAGAGGAGGGAGGGAGAGCAAGGGAGGAGTTACTTACAGTTGGTCAAGCAAGGTGTTTCGGCACCATCTGCAAGGTGTCCGGCGCGTAACAAATCTTCCCAGGCAGACGAATCGATTAATTCACAGGCTTTTATTGGGGTTCCACTCCCGGGCGAGGTTCCCCAGTCCCAACAGAGCAACAGAGCAGGGGATGGGGAAGTCACTCTTTAACTTTTTTCATTAATCTGTGGATCTTATATCTTTTTCAAATCTCGCTTCCAACATTACCTAACTTTCCTCCTATACTATTCATCATTGTACCCAGGTAAACCTATGAAGCAGGTAAACTGATTTTGGCTACAACCTATCTACTAATGTCGACACTGCATGCCTTCCATTTGGGTGTTTGTAGTCAATATTATGCATTTGCCTTTGTCTTCTCTTTGCCTATTCTATGCCCAGTTTTGGTTTTCAGGCAATCACCAGCCAGTCTCCTAAGATATCAACTAGATTTTTCTAACATATTGAAACTTCTTGTTTTAAAATATTTCAATTCTTAAGAGTATCCAAATTTGTAAGTTAACTTGTACAACAGAATAACAATAAATTCTGTAAACATAAATTAGAATTATTAAAAAGATGCAGAAACTCTTTAGAGAGTGTTGACCTGCTATTCACAGAATCATTGTTGGCCTGCTATTCACAGAATCCCTCAGCTCAGCCCACAGATATAATTAACAATAACTAAGACTGATCTCATCTCTGATTAAGAATCACACAGATGTTCCCATGTCTTGAAATCTGGGACTACAAACTCTTATTTTGTATGACTATAATCATTCTGTTGAGATTTGTGTGTAATATTTGGAAGACATATTTTTTCCCCAAAAGCTTTGTTCCACTGGTCTTACCTAACATCAGAACAAAGCTAAGCATTTAGTTGCAACTCAAAAAGTATTTTTGAATGAAAACTATGACTTTAACTGACAATAAAACAAGGCCTATATGTAGCATAATAATATGAGAAACTCATTAATATTCTAGAAAATGCTTTATGGCTGGACCTGTGCTCCCACAAGATTTCAGCTGTCAGAATACCATTTAACCCAACACTAATGTTGCTTTTTAAGGCTTATGCTGCTTTGACACAACTTAATTTCATTTTTATTTCCCTTTTCAGAAAATCAAATCACTGATAAAATGATTTTTTTATTTTCCATGAGTCATGTAGAATAATTAACAATTAAGGATTTCATGTTCTTCTTGGGTAGCTCTGTCAGAGCATCTGAATTTGATTAATTTTTCTGTTTGTTTTTGATGCACGAGACTGTCTCTACATTTGGAAATAATATGGGATAAAAATTAAAATTTTAAATAATACAGTAAATGCTAAATATATTATCAAATGAAAAAGCACATAGCTATAATATGCATAATTTACTCACTAGCTAAAAAAACAGGAAAAGCAATTTGAAGAATATGTAATAAATCATTTTTTATATATACAGTGAAATAAAGCTACATTGGAATCTTCTTTCTGTGATTATAATTTTTTGTCTGCATATTATATCAAAATCAGATTTTTACCATCATATTTGAATATGTTTTAATTCATGACCTAAGTTTCTATAAGAATAAAAAATATTCTCATTTCGTTAAGTGAAGACCTCTTATTATCAATTCAAAGCATTTCGCGCACCTCAAACACGGATCAATACAATCTTAAACAGGATGAAATATGATAATATTGATTATACTTGGTGTCAAGCACAGTAATAATTATATTGATTTCTGCTTCTAGCCTCATGAAAACTGTCCATGAAATTGTTATGGGGCCAGTGCCATGGCTCACTTGGCTAATTCTCTGCCTGTGGCGCCAGCATCCCATATGGGCGCCAGGTTCTAGTCCCAGTTGCTCCTCTTCCAGTCCAGCTCTCTGCTGTGGCCCGGGAAGGCAGTGGAGGATGGCCCATGTGCTTGGGCCCCTGCATCCACATGGGAGACCAGGAGGAAGCACCTGGCTCCTGGCTTCGGATCGTCGTAGTTTGGCCATAGTGGCCATTTCGGGGGTGAACCAACGGGAAGAAGACCTTTCTCTCTCTCTCTCTCTCTCTCTCTCACTGTCTATCTCTATCTGTTAAAAAAAAGAAAAAAGAAAAGAAAATGTTATCCAAATAAGGGAAAAATACATCCAGTAAAAATTCTAGTCTATTTAGTCGAACTGTACTACTCAATGTTCAGTAGCGTTATGTAGCTCCTTGTCCCCTGCTCAGTCTACTCTGGTAGAATATGCACACAGACCACTACCAATGATAACACTGAATGAAAAAAAAAATACTTTTAAACTATAGTTGAATGTTGATATTGCTCATTGGTAAGTCACATTAGGAACAGGTAAACTGAAAGTTAAATGGTTCAAGTCTCTCTATCAGAACAATACAAATGTTCAAGAAACACAGGTATTAATCTAAGAAAATGAATAAACCCATAATATCAGTTGTGATTGTTTAGCTCACATAATAATTTGAAAAAGATTTTCAGAAAAATTTATGACAATATTTAAGGAGAAAATATATTTAAATGACACGCTAGGGGCCGGCGCTGTGGGGTAATGGGTAAAGCCGCCACCTGCAGTTCTGCATCCCATATGGGTGCCCGTTCGAGACGCGGCTGCTCCACTTCGGATCCAGCTCTCTGCTGTGGCCTAGGAAAGCAGTACAAGATGGCCCATGTCCTTGGGCCCCTGCACCCATGTGGGAGACCAGGAAGAAGCTCCTGGCTCCTGGCTTTGAATCAGCACAGCTCTGGCTGTTGTGGCCATCTGGGGAGTGAACCAGAGGATGGAAGACCTCTCACTCTGTTTCTACCTCTCTTTGTAACTTTGTCTTTCATCTCTCTCTCTCTTTCATTCTCTCTGCCTCTCCTCTCTCTGTGTAACTGTGACTTTCAAGTAAAAAATCTTAAAAAAAATATAGCACACTATACTTGAGCACCTGGAACTCAAGAAAACATGATTGCGATCCTAATCTTGCCGCTAATTATAGGGAAATATCAAATATTCAGAGTACTCCTGCTTGCAAAATTACAGGACACTATTGTAAAATTCAAATGGTTCTTACTAGTCTTTAATTCTGTGTTCCATTTTTGTTCCCATTTTACTGCTTTTGTTTAGTTTATGAAAAATATTTTGGGAGCAGTGCTGTTTCATACAGGTAAAGCCGCTGCCTGTAGTGCCGGCATCTTATATGGGTGCCGGTTCGAGACCCAGATGCTCCATTTCTGATCCAGCTCTCTGCTATGGCCTGGGAAAGAGGTAGAAGATGCCAAGTCCATGAGCCCCTGCACCCGCATGTGAGACCCTGAGCAAGCTCCTGGCTCCTAGCTTCGGATCAGCGTAGCTCTGGCCATTGATGCCGTCTGGGGAGTGAACCAGCAGATGGAAGACCTCTCTCTCTCTCTCTCTCTCTCTGCCTCTCCTTTTCTTTCTGTGTAACTCTGATCCTCACATAATTAAATAAATCTTTAAAAAAGGCACTTAAAAAAAAACATCTTTATGTTCACATAATTACCTGAAAATATGATGAAGTTTTAGGAGAACAATATTTTGGGACATTTTGTAAAAGGATGAAACTTTATTGAAATTCAATATTTATATATTTAACATATAAATTATAAATGTATCAATATATAAATTAACTTTGTATAAGTTATAGGTCGAATATATGTTATATTAAATGGTACTTTTGATCTGTTGAAGCTACGCAGTGTTTTCCCTTGTGAAGGTGCATCTGTTTATTGTCCTTATTGGGTTACAAATCCTTCATGATGATGATGATGATGATGATGAAGAAGAAAAATACATGTTTCCATAAGTGGGCGAATGAAATGAGCTGTATGACAAAAGTTTACCTTTTATTATTCAGTTTGTCAAACAATTATTTCATTAAAATTTATTTTATATGCATAACAAACCAAATGAAACCAGATTATGAATAAGATAGGATTATATCTTATTATTAAAGAGAGCTTATCTTCCCTAATAGTTTAGGGGTATAGATTATGAGATTTATGGAAAGAAATTTTGTTTTGATTAGATTTAGTGACATGAATATCATGATTAATTTTGTGTATCAATTGGACTGGGTTAAAGGATGGTGAATTAGCTTACAAAATTCTGTATCTGTGTGTGCTTCTGTGGAAAAGACTGGCCTTTGAACTGATAGGCAGAGTGGAATCTAATGGGCAGACATCCACTCTCCTGTTGAGGACCTGAATGCAATGAAAAGAGAAGGGAGGGAGGGTGAATGTGCTCCCTGCCTGAGTGGGACTTCTGTTGTTCTGTCTTTGGATACCCACACTCCTACTTAGGCCTTCAGACTCAGACTGGGACTTAGACAATTAGCATCGGTGGGTCTCAGGCTTTCACACTCGGAATAGAGTCACAACACTGAGTTTCCAGGGCCTCCAAGTTGTGAAAAGCAGGTCATGGGACTTCTTTGGCCTCCATAATTGTGTTAGCAAATCCCTCCTTATAAATCCTTTCTATCTATTTATGTGTATCTCATTGGTTCTGTTTCTCTGAAAAACACTTACTAAGATGTCCAGCAATCATAAACAAACGTGTATCTCATTTTATTTTTAAACAATAAAGCAAAAAGAGGAAAATAAAATATTTAAGAGGGAATTAGTTTATAATTTTGAACTCCATTGAAAAATTGAAACACCTAAGATGTGAAAACTATAAAATAATTATATTTCTTAAAATGTATATTATACTTAAAATTTTATAGTTGATTTTTAATGTCAAATTAAGTTCTTTAATTAAGGTACCCAAAGATAAAAAAAATAAAAATTCTATTATTTTCAAGCTAAGGATATTTTATTGTCAACATATATATTGTATTACATGCAGCATATGCATATAATTGAATGTGTATTGTATCAGACTTGACAATTAGTAAAACTGACATGTGGATATACATATAAATGAGGTATAGAAACCATATTTTCTATTTCAAATTATATCATTTATTGAAAATATATAACATAAATGAGCTGTTAGGCAATCTAATAAGGCTTCAAGGAGAGATGATGTAACATTTATAACAAAGAATTCTCTGAAATGTTTAGATTTTATATATTAAACAACATAGGATAACCTCAGAAGACTGACTTGAGAATGTTTTAGCAAATCCATTAATTGTAGAATGTGTTGTTTTACTAGATCACAAGTTCAGTAGAAGCTAGAGAAGCCATAGCCACCATAGTAAGATGGGTGGCCATATCTGAAATTTCCATAGCCAGAGCCATATCCATAGCCCCTGTGTCCAGAGCCATATCCATAGCCTCTGTGTCCAGAGCCATATCCATAGCCTCTGTGTCCAGAGCCACAGCCCAGTCTGTGGAAGTTGCCACATCCGCATCCATAGCCATAGCCCAGGCCGCCAAAGCCTCCATAGCTGAAGCCCAGGCCTCCGTAGGACCTGCCGTAGAAGCTCATGGTGTCAGAAGTGGTGAGTGGGTTTCTGTTCAGGACACGATTTTGAGTTTGAATGTCAGTCAGCATGTGTTAGGAGACACTTATATACCCTGAGTAGAAAGTCTGATACAACCTGTAACCACTATTTTGTATCATTAAAAGTTACTAATTCACCTGCGGCAACTCATTAGTCTGTTTGTTAACACAAGGAGAGGCACACACTCATTAAAATTTTTGAAATTGCTTAGCTGCCTAGTAAGAGTGAATTCATTACATTCTTCTTTTTTGATGAAAAAAAAAGAATGTCCTTTAGTCACAAAATTAAAAATTCCATAAATAAAATTCATTATTAAGAATTTTGTATCATTCAATTTCATTAGTGACTTCCTATTAAGTATTATCTTGTCTTCATATTCTTCTATGGATTGTTATTCTTACCTCCCTCTAGAATCAAATAGATAAATCCAGCAAATTCCTTGATTGCAAATATATTTTCAGATTAAGAAATGAAAAAATATTTTGAGTAAATAAACCTGATCATCTGTGATGTATACAAAGTAATGGATAGACACAATAGGAAGCTATTTTGATGTTATATATCAGGCTGCAAAATATCCTTTGAGCTATCTACATAATAAAATTCACTTGCGAAACCAAGGAGCTCATTTTTCTTCCTTTATTTTCACTTTGCCTTATTCACACATCAGTTCTGTTTATCAAACTTCTCTTTACATTTTATTTTGTATTCATTTCCAAAGCTTGTCATCAGCCAGGTATCTTGTTCTTATTTATTTCCAAATCAAAATTCCATCATGATACTTATAAATTGAGTAGTTTGAAGCAAATTTCATAAAATGCCTATGTTTGATATGTAAATATATAGATTGATATATTGATATTAAGTTGACCTGAGATGCCAACATTCCCATATCTTAGCACCAGTTCAAGACAAGGCTGCTCCACTTCTGATCCTTCACCCTGTTAATGTGCCTGGGAAGTTAGCAGAAGATGCCTCAAGTACTTGGAGCCCTGCTCTCCACATAGGACACCTGGATAGATTTCTGGGCTCCCGGCTTTGGCCTGGCCCAGTCCAGCCATTGCAGCCATTGGGGAGTGAACTAATGGATGAATGATAGTTTTCTTTCTCTCTCTCTCCCTCTCTCTCTCTCCCCCCCCCGACTCTGCCTTTCAAATAAATGAAATAAAACTTAAATAATAATTCTAATGATTTTAAACTTTATACTTCAATGTAGAATTATCTTTTTTTCAGAACTGCCTATTTACTTATCATATGCATGCTTATAAGGCACATAAAAAAAAAAAAAAAAACCACTTAGCCAAGGAATAGCTTCCCTCACTGAAAATTGAGCAGAATGGAACTGTCATCACTTGTACATAATTGAGTGTCACAGGTGAAACAGAAATTACATTGGGTTTTCTAATTAGAGCATTTAATTGGAAGGTGATCAACAAAAGTAGAGGTTACTGGGAATATGATGGAGATATAAGTATAAATTTTGAAAAATTTTGAAATTTTCTGAAATTATGAGGTGCTAACTTGGTATAATTTTTTATTGCCCAATAAGCGAAGTCTGATTATACACTCCCTTATAATTTAAGATTTTGAATACTTGGGCAGTGGTTTAGTAGAATCCAAATAATCTGCATCATTCATAGCATAGTGGACAGCAGTAGCCATAGCCATAGTCTCCAGAACCCAGTCTATAGAAACTGCTAGATTCATAACCATGGCCCAGTACTTTGTGATAGGGATGGTAGTAGCTCATTGTGTCAGGCACGGTAAATTGGATTGCTGCTCAAGGCATGATCTCGAGTTTGAATGTCAACATCCACATGGGCAGGCTTATATATTCTGATAGATTATGAGATAAAATAGCCCTCACCTAATTTCAGGGTAATTTTGTGTAGTACCCTCACTTGATATGAATTTATATTGTTGTCTGCTAACACATAACTTTTCTGAAAAGAAGTTGCTATATCTTGCATGTCTGGACATATTAGACCACAGATGAAAGTCTTCACTGACACATTGCAAAACACAATTGATAGTTATGTTTTGAAGCTGAGTATGCCTCATCTCTGTCTTTCCTTCAATTGTTACACTTCTTTATGATTTAATGAAAGAATTTGGCTAAATTCAAGTCTCTGTAATATCATACACTTTCAAAGGTATCTTATAAATCACAATCAGATTCTTTTTCAAAGGGAAAGAAGCCTTTGAAAGCCTGGGGGTATCACTCACCTGCTGAGTATACCAGTAAAGAACTACAGAAAAAATATATTGAAATAGAGCCGTTCACTTTTTTTTTTAATTGTCAGAACATTGGCCATCATAACCACTATTCTCTTTTTTGTTTTACTTACTTGAAAAATACTCTTAAAATCCATTTTGATTTAACAATATGACATACTATTAAAACATTAAAGACAAAATACCATATTCCAATCTATTTCATATGTAGCCTTACAAACTTTAAGATCTCTTTTCACAGCCTGATTCCCTCTTTGGCATATAATCCATTCAAGGTGGATCACAAATATAGGTTACATCTCCCCCAGCCATTACAGATAGCATTCATTTTCTTTCCCTGGTCTGTACATGTGACCTCCCAATTCCCAGAAGAGATTCGAATTAGGAGAGATAGTAAAATATTTATGATTTTTTTATCATTGGTTACTTTATTTTTTTCCAAGCTAATGTGATATTGATTCATAGACACAGTTCTAAGAATATAATGATATTCCCTTCTTTCCTCCCTATAATGATATTCCCTTCTTTCCTCCCTCTCCCCCCTCACTTTTTCTCTTTCTTTCTTTCTTTCTTTCTTTCTCTCTCTCTCTCTCTCTCTTTCTCTCTTTCCATATATTTTATCTAATGTTCAAATATTTATATATATTTTCATTTTTAAAATAATTGTTTTAACTTTTAATTCCCTTTGCCTATTATATATTCATTTTTTTTTCTTGCAAGAAATAGCTAACTAGCCTCTATTTACAATTAGAAGTTTCAATGTGGAGAGTATATCCAAAGGCTCTGAAATTCACATAGCAAGTGATAGCACTGGGAATTTCTTCACAATCAACCAAAATATAGGTCTGATGTAGAAAGGCATGATTGAGAAAATAATCATTGAAAACAAAATTTTCTAAGATGATTCCCAGTCAACTACACTTAAAGCTAACCTGAAACATGGAAAAGCTTAACTCAGATATGTCCTTTACTTGAAGTTTAAACCTATTTGTTTAAACCTAATTGTTGTTCCACATCTTTGCCCACATGGATAATTTTCAAGTTCTTTCACTGCATTACTATTGTGGGCATATAGTATTATTTGAATATTATACTTTGATTTTTTAAGTTTTATTTTAATGAAAAACTGACAGAGATATTTGGACATTGAGAAAGGCAGAGATATATTTTTCACCAACTGGTTATCTCCTCAAATGCCCACAACAGGTAGGGCTGGACCAGGTCAATGCCAAAGTCCAGTAACTCAAGTCACATCACTCACATGGGTGGCAGGGCCTCAAGTACTTGAGCCATAATCTGCTTCCTCCCAGGATGAACATTAATGGGAAACTGAATTGCAAGCAAAGTAGTAGGAACTCAAACCAAGTGCTCCAATATAGGCACAGGTGTCCAAAGAGGCAACTTAAAGCAGTTGAGACAAACACCTACCCCTTACTTTGGTTTCATCTGATAAACAATGGTATTGTGAATTTTTTATGCTTACATGTCATTTAGACATTCTTTTATTTGATGTGCCTGTCAAACTAAGTAATGTGGTTTTCCAATGAAATCATTGAGCTATTAATAGTCTCATCTAGTCAATGTAAAGTTATTAGACCAACTGAAAGGGTAGATTTTACTAGTTGATTGAATAAATATTCCTGGGCTTAGTAAACAAATCTGAATTTTTCTAATTCACCATGTTATGGGGCACACCAATTAAAAACATAGCTCCCTCCCTCCCTCCCTCTTTTCCTCCCTCTCTCCCTCCCTCCCTCTCTCTCTCTCCTTCTCACTCCTTCTCTTTCTCTTGCTTCTCCTTGTTTCCTGCTGATGCATGGCTATGATTTTTTCAGACTGTGCAGCAGTTGACTGGGGCTCTCCAGCTGTTGTGGCCATTTGGGAAGTAAACCAAGGGATGGAAGACCTTTCTGTCTCTCCCTCCCACTGTCTGCATAGAAATAAAAACTGAAAACAAACAAACAAACAAACACAGTGAGACTTTTGAGGTCAAATAAGGAGTCTCTGTTAGTCAGCTGGCGACTGCCTTCTCTCAGAACAAGTCCAGAGAAAACAGCCCCGCGTTGCAGTGGCAGGGGGTTTTTAAGGGCAGAGACTACATGTTGGTGGCCTTTGCCATTATCAAGCAAGCAAGCAGAAGTTCAGAAGCCAGAAATATGCTGGTTACAGCCAGAGGAGCAGACTGGTATCTGTAACTTGTTTCCCTCAAAGGAACAATCCTTGCTTTGAAGCAACCGAGCAAGATAACCTATAACCACCAGGGCAGGTTATGTCATGTGGGAAAACATTAAACTCAAAGCCATCCTGTCACAATCTTAATATTTATAATCCTATTTAAATTTAGCTTTGTACTAGCTACTTTTGTTCAACTCTGCCTAACTCTGGATAAAGAAGTTCAATACAGTCCTGTGTTATGACACAGTGGGTTAAGCTGCTACCTGTGACACTGGCATACCATTTGTGTTCCAGTTGCTGTCCTAGCTACTCCACTTCTGATCCAGTTCCCTGCTAATTTGTCTGGGAAATCAATGGAAGATTGCCAGATTGCTTGGGTCCCTGCCACCCATGTGGGAGGTACAGGTAGTCCTGTACTCCTGGCTTTAACCTGGCTTAGCTTCAGCTGTTGTGACCATTTAGAGAGTGAACCAATGGATAGAAGAACTCTCTCTCTATCTCTCTCTCTCTGTGTGTGTGTGTGTGTGTGTCTCCTTCTCTCTTGGTGGTTCTGCCTTATGTATAAATAAATAAGTCTTTCAAAAGTAAGTTTTGTAATTATAAAATTAAAAATATGTG